GAAGACTGGCCCTGGGCTAACATCCGTGCCCATCTTCCTCCACTTTATATGAGACACTGCCACAGCATGGCTTGCCAAGCGGTGTGTCAGTGTGCACCAGGATCTGAGCCAGTAAACCCTGGGCCGCCACAGTGGAGCGCGCGCGCTTAACCGCTTGCACCACCGGGCTGGCCCCCAGAGTGATAGTTTAAAAATGCAAATCATAAAAAGACTTCCTCTGCTTAAACCTCTTCCCTTTACACTGCAAATAAATTCAATCCCTTTACCTGAGCTTACGAGGCCATAATCTGGTCCCTGCCCTCCGTGACCATCACATTTTATACCCTTCTTTACCTTCCCCACTACATTCCAACTACATTAGTCTGACAGTTCCTTGAATACTCTGAATTCTTTCTCACGCACGCGGTGAGGACCTTCGCATATGCTGTTTCCTCTGCCTGAAAAGCTCTGCTTTCACCTTCCGATTGCTGGTCCTCATTCTTCAAGTCTTGGCTTTAAACTTCACCTCTCAGAGGAACTTTCCTTGACCACCCCAAATAAGTGCTCCCTGGTGTTGTATAACTGCTTTAGCAATGTCTTGATTGTTGTACAATTTTCCTACAGTCTGTAAGCTCCGAAAGAGGAAAGACCTCGCCTGTTTTGGTCTTAACTGTACACCCAGCGCCGAGAGCCTGACATATATAGTTGGGCTCAGTATTTGTTGAATGAATGAGTCAGGAATCCAAGAACACAACTCTGTGGGGGTGCAAAGGCCAGCCGGGGGCGTGACCTCCTTAGAGGCCGAGTCTCCCAGCTAGGACTGGGACCGGAAACCTGGGCGGGGCTTCCCAGAATGAGCACGCACGCCTCGGGGCGGGGCTCACCGGGCATTGATTTCGCGGTCAGAGTTGGGCCTTATTCTCCCTCTCCCCAAGCAATTTCCTCCCCCAGAGCCCTGGCTCACCCGAAGGCACCTCTCCCCACCACTCGGATCCGCTCGTACTTCTCCATCTTATTTCTCAGAGTCACATTTCCGGAACCCCAGCCCCAGGCGCGGCGCGTGCGCGGACCCGCCCGCCGTGGAGCCACGCCCCATACGCTGCATGATAATTGCGGGGCGGAGCAAGTGGAGCTAGGTGTTGGTTCAGCCTCGCCCCTCTTTGTTGATTTGTACCTTCTCTGCATCCTCTAGCCGCAGTCTCTTTTCCAGGGTCCAAGGAATGGGGCGATATGCCATTTCTTTGCGCGCTCCGCAATGGCCGGCACCGTACCAGCCAGTTTCCACACACGTGGCCGCATCTGGCCCTCGCAAAGCTTCCTTAGACCGGATGGGTGTCCCACGCAGGCGAGTGAGGGTGGGAAGCGAGGACCGACCTCTCTCTGCCCCCCTCTTTGCCCACTAGTGACACTGTTTCGGAAGAAGGAGCAGATTCTCATTGGCACGCAAACGGTAAACACTACCAAAACTGAACCTAGAGCGTCATTGCTCTCGGTCTGTGGGTCAGGGAGCAGGGTGAGTTTCGTGTTTGCCTAGGGAGGGACCGGGGAAACCCCTAGCTGTGCAAGTTGATTCACCTAGGGAGGACGTGACACGGTCTCCAGGCTGTCCCGACTAGTGAGCACCGCGCTCATCCACACCCTCAACCCCCCCATGCACACACACAACGCTGCCGCAGGATAATCTGCCTTCAACGCCCAACTAGGGCGAACCTCCTTGGGGGAAGATGGGAGGGAAGTGGACCACTATCTGAGGGCTAGGGAGAGGAGGACAGACAGCCTTTTGGCTGATATACGGGTTCAAGGCTTCTGCCCAGAGGCAGGAGGCTGGTTAGTATGATTGTCTAGGATCTTGACCGGAAGTGAGTTTAATTCCAGGTGTCTCCCTGGCGCCTCTTGCTCTTCACGAGCTCTATAAAAGCTCAGGTAAGGAGCAGAAGGATGATGATTAGCTAAGGGATAGCGTCCCTATTTCGGAATGGGTGAGGAATGTGAGGAAAGAGGTGTTTATCTTCTGCTCCCACCCCGCCTCTCGAAAGGGTGCCCAAACCTGCCCATGTGGAGTGACCACTGGAATGGCCCCATGAGGGCCTCTCGGTCGCTGGCTCAGGCTGGTGTTGGCTGGTGGACAAAACTGCCCCGTGAGCAAAGGGGAGAAAGGCAGAGGGGGAAAGCCGCTCACCCGGGACACTCGTGCTCTCACCTAGAAACCGATCGGGACTTGGTTGACCCAGGAGCCCCACAGGGGTTAATGTGTAACCTTGGAGCCATCAGGGAAGGCAGAGCAAACACCCAAACCGCTTGGCCCCTGGGTCTCTGGCGCCTCAGGCTCCTGCCTTTTCCTCCCTCTCGCAGCACCTCCTACTGCCCCGCCCCCATCTACTCACTTCCTCTCCTTTACCACCCTCCTCCGGTGCCCCCTCGCCCCGGTTCTCAAATGCTCTTCCGTTCGCCGAAGTCGGGCTAACTCTCCCCCAGAAGCAACCACCTCATTCCTTTGGAGGCGGAAGGGGATCTGGCGCCACAGTGAGGACAGGCTGACACCTAGTGGCCACGACCTGTAACTGCTCCAGGCCGCTCGCCTCGAAGAGTTGAGGGTCACCCCAGCAGCCTGGTCAAATCGGCAGGCTTCCCCTCCCCAGCCTCCGGGGAGCCGGGAGAGGAGAGCTGGGACTGTCTGTGGGAGGACTGTGACAGCCGGTCGGCCCCAGAGGCCCAAGAGCGGGCTGGGAGGAGGGATGGCGATGGGTTAGTCAACAATTTCTAGGCACCGACTCGGTGCGGGACGCGGGAGAGGCAGGTAAACATGTCTACCTCTGGCCTGAGGAACCTAGTGATCCAGCGGAAGAACAGGGCCTGGGCAGAGGTCATTGTTCGAGGCGGGGGTAAGACCGGTCTCCAGGACCAGGGTTACAGGACGTGAGTGACAGGAACCGCCCAGCTCTGCCCAGAAGGGTGTTGAGGGCGGAGAGAGTGTTCTCTCAGTACCCGCCCAGGCGAGGGAGCCGGTGGCCGCGGGGAAAGTGGGGACGCGAGTTAATGAGGCCACGCGAGGGAGGCGGGACTCCGTCAGCAGTCGGGAGGCGCCTGGCGCCCCCAGAACAGCCCTTTTTCGCCCCTAGTCCGCGGGAGCCAGGCGGGAGGCCCCCGGAAAAGGGGCTCGCGCCCTCGGTGCTGCGGAGGCGCCGGAGGGGCGGGGGCAGGCGGGCGGGGCGGGGCGGGGCGGGGGCGCGAGCGGCTGGAGGCGGGGGCAGAGAGCCGCGCGAGAAGCGAGGAGGAGCGAAGGGGCCTAGAGAGCTCCGCGAAAACTGTGTGAGGCCGGCGGCCGGCGGAAGAGGGGTCCGAGGTGGACTGGCCCGAGAGGGAGCCACGTTCCCTGAACAGCCCGAAGAGGCCGCCTAGAGGGCGGACAGACAGACGGCAGGGAGGGCCAGCATGCCCCCATTGCTGCACCCAGCCCTGCCGCTGCTCCTGGGCGCCACGCTGACCTTCCGGGCGCTTCGGCGCGCACTCTGTCGCTTGCCCCTGCCTGCGCACGTGCGCGCCGACCCCCTGCGCACCTGGCGCTGGCACAACCTGCTAGTCTCCTTCGCGCATTCCATTGTGTCAGGGATCTGGGCGCTGCTGTGGTGAGTGAAGGGCTGGGGAGTGAAGGTGGCTAGGGGATCCCGCGTTACTCTCCCCATCACTCAACGGGCTGAGGCCACGCAGTCTCACCTGATTCCCCGTTTGGAATGCTGTCCAACCAGGAGCGGCAGCGGCCCCAGGGGAGGGGGATCTCACCTGGGAAACGGGAGACACCTGGGTTTCAGCCAAGCCCCTCCTCGCTCCCGTTAGCCAAAAGCGCGATCTCAGCCTCCCCAGGGACTGGCAAGGGTAATGGAGTTGAGGGTCTTTGAGGATGCCGAGATGAGAGCCTGCCTTCTTCCCTCCCTTCAGTGTATGGCAAGCCCCTGAGATGCTTGTGGAAATTGAGACCGCATGGTCGCTTTCTGGCTATCTGCTCGTTTGCTTCTCCGCAGGTAGGTCTTGCCCAGGAAGCATTAAGTAAGTGGGGGTACAGGGAGAAACTTCCTGTTCAGTCCCCTTCATGAGCTCTTCCCCCATCCCTCCGCTAGGCTATTTCATCCACGACACGGTGGACATCGTGGTTAGTCGTCAAGCTCGAGCTTCTTGGGAATACCTCGTCCATCATGTCATGGTGAGAAGCAGGGGGTGTGGTATAGGCCCTGTGCTGGCAGCGGTGCTTCTGAACCTGGGAAGTCAAGACCGTCTTTTCTTAACCCCATTCCCACCTTGTGTCCTACATCTTATGCTAGGACGCTGAGGGTTGGCACCGTCTCTGTGCCCCTGGCTCACCATTTGAGGCCAGCGATCCATGGCCTGATCTAGTACTTCCTTAAACAGACTGAAACTCCACCAAGAGTCAGAATCTGTGGGCAGGGATCAAAACGTACTCATGTTGAATCCACTGTAAACTCTAGTATTCCAGAAGTAAATAGGGAAGGATTTTCCAGCCCTCGATCTGGGAGCCTTGACACTCCCACCAACTTCCAGGAAAGCCTTGGTGTCCGGGTTCCCTAACCCATTCTCTCCCTTGCTTTCCAGGCTATGGCTGCCTTCTTTTCAGGCATCTTTTGGCGCAGTTTTGTCGGTGGGGGTGTCCTAACACTGCTAGTGGAGGTCAGCAACATTTTCCTCACCATCCGCATGATGATGAAGATCAACAATGCCCAGGATCTCCTCCTCTACCGAGTCAACAAGTATGTCAACTTGGTCATGTACTTTCTCTTCCGCCTGGCCCCTCAAGCCTACCTCACCCATTTCTTCCTGCGTTATGTGGGCCAGAGGACCCTGGGCACCTTTCTGCTGGGTGTCCTGCTCATGCTGGATGTCATGATCCTCATCTACTTTTCCCGCCTCCTCCGCTCGGACTTCTGCCCTGAGCGTGTCCCCCGCTGCCGGCAACACAAAGACAAGTTCTTGACTGAGTGAGAGGCACAGAGCCTGGGACTCACAGCAAGGACAGCAAACACAACCAGGAACAGCCTCACAGAACTAGAGGAGACTTTGCCCCAGGTCTGGGGCATCCTCTGGGGCTACCCTCGCCAGGTTTTGAGCTTGCGTCCACTATTGAAAACACCAATGAAAGCACTCCTCTCAAGTCCTTGTCTTTTCTTGGGCAAGGGGTGAGGGAAGCAGACCGACCGGTTGGACATGGTAGATGGGTGTGGGGACAAGGTGCCAACCACACTGACCTGAAATGAATGCTAATGAAAACTCTGGGTGTTTTGTTTCATACAAAGCCTCTTCCAGGGATAGAGGAAGGGGCTCTTTTTTTTTCTTTGTGAGGGAGATCAGCCCTGAGCTAACATCCATGCTAATCCTCTTTTTTGCTGAGGAAAACTGGCTCTGAGCTAACATCTATTGCCAATCCTTTTTTTTTTCCTTCCCCAAAGCCCCAGTAGATAGTTGTATGTCATAGTTGCACATCCTTCTAGTTCCTCTATGTGGGACGCAGCCTCAGCATGGCCAGAGAAGCGGTGCGTCAGTGCGCATCCGGGATCTGAACCCGGGCTGCCAGTCGCGGCTCTTGTAATGTTTTCTTGCTTGTTCTCTTACCCCTATGAAGGAGACAAGGTGTGGTTGTCCTAGGACAACTAACCCTAGTCTGGGTCACAAATATCTCTGCTACCTGAGCTCCCACCACCAGGATTCTAACAAGTCTGGTGAAGTGACAGGGTCAAGTGTTTCTACACAGTAAGTAGACCAAGAGCCTTACCCGAGCCCTGTTGCTTAGGTGTGTATGTATCTCAGTATGGCCTCCCCCCAGCCCAACCAGAAACTGACAAAGAAGCATATAGTGAAAAAACTTGTATTTAGAATTAGCCAGCTGGACTCAGTTTAGATGATTCCAATCTGAAAAACAAAAGGGAGCTTTGTTACTGGGAGCTGAAACGGGAAGATTAAGCTGGAATGTCATGGTTAAAAAGCAAAATGAGGGCACATGGTGAGGGTAGGGCCTGACAGGGGTACAGTCAGTCAGTCAAGACTAATCAACAAAAGTCAGGCTTTGGTCGCTAACAAAACATCACTTGCACCCCAGGGGTAGGTGTTAAGGAGTCTGTACGAAAGGAAGCTTACTTTGTTGGCAACATCCAAAGCATCATAGTCAGGAGCCAGTCGAACATATGCCTTCTTCTCTCCATCAGGCCTAGGGTGGAGAAGGAAGCCTTAGTCCCTGCTGCCCTTGCCCCCATACACCCCTGCCTCCCCCAGTCTTTCACGCATCAGTGGTTCCTTTGCTCATGTCATTCTTTTCCAAATAGTGATTTTTCCATCATTTGCGCAGAGGCGGGCTAAGGAAGCCACTAAGCCAGAAATGAACCCAATTCTCTTTTATAGGAAACACCAGGTATTCTGATGTAAAATTGTATGTCACTCTAGAGGTAGCATCAAGGAAATGAGCACCAAACCCACAAATTAAATCCTGGAGGCAGGACAGCCCAGAAGTCCACACTCCATACAAAGAACTGGAATTACAGCAGGGGCTGCTCATTTCTCAAGGCTAGCACACTCTGAAACCTCCTTCTGACCCCAAAAGCAACATCAAGAAATTTCATACCATTCAAGTTTGATTCCCAATTCCTTACTGAAGCTCAGGCCTCCTCTCCATCCCATGGGGCCCCACTTACCTAATCAGGGTGTTGACCTTGGCCACGTCAATGTCATAGAGCTTCTTTACAGCCTGTTTGATCTGGTGTTTGTTGGCCTTGACATCCACAATGAACACAAGTGTGTTGTTGTCTTCTATCTTCTTCATGGCTGATTCCGTGGTCAGGGGGAACTTGATGATGGCATAATGGTCAAGCCTAGGGGAGAGGCAAAACAGGGTCACCTGCCCAGGGCCCAGCAGAAGCAAGGATGGGCCCTCTTTTGGAGCCCTGGTGCATCAGACAATGAGGTAGCAATCATTTTTGTCAGACTTTGGTCGCTGAACAGTGTCATCATCTGCACCCTGAAACCTAGGGACCTGGAGGCCAAACCCTTGTGCATCCTTTCATTTGAAAGGCTTTCATCCTTTAAGTGATTCAAGAATCATCTCTGAGTTCCAAACTCCTTCATTCTTTATTTGACCTCAACGTTTCTGAAGAGCAAATTTATGGACGAAATTTGAGACATGAGAGGTTAAACAACCCAAAAGGACAAAGCTAGACTAGGGAGTCCTGAAACCCAGACTAGGATTCCAAAGAATGTTGGTGCTTCACTATGGGGTTGAATAGACCGTTTCTGTCCCCTTTGGTTACTGAAAACCTGCTTGAGAGCTGGCCATCAAATCTTTTTTTTTTTTGAGTAAGATTGGCCCTGCACTAACATTTGTTGCCAATCTTCCTCTTTTTTCTCCCCAAAGCCTCAGTACGTAGTTGTGTATCCTAGTTGCAGAATTGTAGCTCTTCTATGTGGGACACTGCCACGGCATGGCTTGATGAGCAGTGAGTAGGTCTGCGCCCAGGATCTGAACCGGTGAACCGTGGGCCGTCGAATTGAACGCATAAACTTAATGGCTGTGCCACCGGGTGGCCATCAATTCTTGAGAGCAACTTTTTATTTACATCTCAGGAAAACTCACAGTGGCTTGAACACACCTACAACATTCCCCCTGAAATTCAGAGAAGGCTCTATTCACCTGAACGCTACCTTCCTGTTTTGAAGCTAAAGGTCAGGTCTCAACCTCTCATCACATTAAATTCTGGGTCGAAATGGGAGTAAAAAGTCTGTCAAGTGTTTTCCTCCATGGACACAACCCACTCTCCTGCCTTTTTCTTAGGAAGCACAGTGGGAGGACCAGAAACCCATTGGTGGCAACCACTACCATGGCTCTACTCTTATCTGTGGTCCCTAATGTCAGCTATTATCAGTAGCAGGACACCAACATACTCAAGTACCCTAACCTTCTGCCCATTTCCCTCTAACTGTTCCTCAAGTGTAAACATTTGGGAGAGTGAATGAAAAGCTTCCATACACTGTTGCAGGCCCTCACTGTCCACTACAGATGAATGAATCTCCTTATCAATCTAGAATCATCCCACATCCTGACCCTCAAGGACTATTCCCTACAGCAATAGGTGCAACGAGGAACCAACTAAACCTGAATTCCAAAACAAAGAACATTTCTCTAAGCTCTACTGTACACTCCCAAGAAAGTGGACTTTAAAACCCTGGGCACATATGAAACAATAGTTAACCTAACAATTAATGAACCTTGACAGTGACTCTGGGTTGTTTTAAAATGTCTCCTCTTGTTAAGTAGGGTATTAATGATCTCCTCACACTATTGAAGAAACACACTAGGCACCAACATGTTTTTGAGAAACCACGCTCTAACTTCCGTAACTTTTCAAATTACCAATGGAGAATACCCAAACATCTTTTCATGGGTACGGGGCATACTGACTTGTTTCTCCTAGGGGCGCTCTTCCGAGGATATTTGGGTTGCCTTCGGAGCCGCAGTGTCTTGGGGCGTCGGAAGGTGGGTGATGTGCGGATCTTCTTTTTTTTGTGGCTGTGGACGCCTTTTAGCACTGCTTTCTTGGCCTTCAAAGCCTTTGCTTTGGCTTCGGCTTTGGGAGGGGCAGGGGCTGAGAGAAAAAACAGAAAAGGGTATGAGATTCAGAAATCGATCACTTCCGGCCTCAAGACGGGTAGTGGACGCCCGAGACCACACGTGCATCAGCGGTTCCTTTGACGACATCAGAAGTTTCAGGTGGTTAAGTTTTTTTCCATCATATGCACGAAAGGGGCCCCACTTACCTAATCAGGGTGTTGACCTTGGCCACGTCAATGTCATAGAGCTTCTTTACAGCCTGTTTGATCTGGTGTTTGTTGGCCTTGACATCCACAATGAACACAAGTGTGTTGTTGTCTTCTATCTTCTTCATGGCTGATTCCGTGGTCAGGGGGAACTTGATGATGGCATAATGGTCAAGCTTGTTTCTCCTAGGGGCGCTCTTCCGAGGATATTTGGGTTGCCTTCGGAGCCGCAGTGTCTTGGGGCGTCGGAAGGTGGGTGATGTGCGGATCTTCTTTTTTTTGTGGGCTGTGGACGCCTTTTAGCACTGCTTTCTTGGCCTTCAAAGCCTTTGCTTTGGCTTCGGCTTTGGGAGGGGCAGGGGAAGTCTGGAGACATGGAGCTCCGGCCTGTGGATGCGTGTAGCTCCCCAGGGCCGATCAGCTGGCTGTCCCTGGCAGGGGGTGCCGGCCGGGCTTGCCTCCCCAGCCCCCTTCACGGGAGCCCACCCCATGCGGCTGGACCCACGCGCGCCGCAGCGCGGCCGAAAAGCAAGGAGCAGCTCCGGAGCAGACACCCAAGCCTTAGCCCAGCCACCGTCCTCCCAGTTCGTTCACTCTCCGGGGATGCCAGGCCAGCCAGCCGGAGCCCCCTAGCCCCAGCACACACCTTCCTTCTTCACTTTCGGCGCCATCTTCATGAAAAGGGTTTCCGAGACCCGGTCCCACGGGCTTATAGAGCCAAGTCTCACCGAAGACTCGCGATGCTTTTTAGTTAAAGCTGATTGGATACTTTGCAGCGCGGCGCCCGCCGGGAATGGTAGTTAGGTTTAATTTCCTCGCGAGAGGTTCCAAGGGGGCACCACCCCTCCGCTCGTGAGACGCTCAAGCTTCTTGGGGGTTGTAGTCTGTTAGAGACGCATGTCTATATGCTGCGGCTGGCCGGCGCATGGGTGAAGCTGGCTGCAGCTCTTGCCTGGTCCTGAGCGCTTCCGGTTCTGAGCAACTTCAGGGAAGAGGATTGAAGTTCCAGGAGACAATAACACTGCAAACTGGAATGAATATAGTTAGATTGACCCAGGGAAAGTGAAGCAAAATTCTAGAACGTCAGAACAGAATTTGTCCGGTCCAACTCCCTCAGACAACATCTGTGGAAACTGAGGTCCAGAGAGGGGACGTGACTTGGCAATAACAGTGATTTGGTGGCAGAAAAAGTTGAGTCAGGCAGAGGGGAGGAGGTAGGAGGCGGCCACATCTGTCCCTGTGACAGATTGTCCTGCTTTTTCCCGATAATACTCTGGAAGAAACTCTGTCAATATGTCAAACACCCAGCGCACAGATTTCTCCAGGATTCGCTAGTTCTTCTTGTGAATAATTTCATTCACAGTCCTCTCCCTTTAGTCTTCCCTTCCCTGCCCTAGTCGTCTTTGCATCCTCAGATTCAGTTCCTGACACAGAGCAAGGTTTAGTAACGCTGAGGTTTGTCAGTTTTGCTTCTCTGAGGGTCTCTGCCTACCCCACCTCCACACCGCCCTTTCTGGTTTTTCCCTCCCCTCTTGGAACCAGATTTCCCCTTTGAAGGTGAGATTTGTTGTGTGCTACCGTCTCTTCTATCCTGCAAAACTGCAAAAAAGAAAAGTCTTGGGGGGGTAGAGAATTGCAATGGGGTCAAAGCGAAGAAAGCCTATACCAAGAGGGGAGTCCCCATGTCCCGGAGTGGTGACCTTCCCAAAGGGCTGAGTTCCCCGGTCCACTTAGCCCTCCTTTATTCTCCATCCAGGGAGGCAGCTTGGTCTTCCGCCTCCCACCCCTCGATCTACAAGGCAGCCTTGGAGGAAAAGATGCCAAACCTCGGACGTCTCTCTCCTTGGTGGGCACCCGGTTCCGACCTTGGCATCCCCTCTATGTTCCCCTCTCATCCTCTCAGGGCAGAAGGGCGAGCAGGGGCAGACTCTATGAGTCATGTCCCGGGCCTGGAGTTGAAGAGGGAAGCGCCGCCTCTCCTAAGGCCCCTTCTCTCCCCCTTTCCCCTCCCTCTGGTTCCTGGCGCAGCCAGATGCTGCGCAGCAGTCACCGATTCCCCATCACCAATTCATCTGGGTAAGGGTCCCCGTGGAGGCGCAGCCCGGCACAGAGGTGCAGGGGAGAGCGACCTGGGGGATCCTGATCTGGGCAGGTTCCAGCCTGGGTGGGGGCAGTCCTGGTGCCCGGTGAGGCGTCTGGTGGGGGAGCCTGAGCTGGGAGAGTGCAGGGAGGGAGAGGAGGGGGATGCCGGAGCGGGCAGCGAGGCCGGGAGTTGCCGGGAGAGGGGCGGGGGGCGGCCCTTCTCCAGGAATTTCCGGGGATCATGTTACAGCGCTCGCGGAGGGAGAGCCGAGTGGGACGCGAGGCCCGGCAGCGCACTGCGCCCCTCGCCCCCTCCTCCAGCAGCCCGCAGCCTTTGCAGCGCCGTCCCTGCCCACACTGACCCCGTGTGGCGGGGCCGCTCTGTTATGGTAGGGCCACCTCAACCCCGAGTTGTCGTCGGGTCTCCGCGGCCTCGCGTTATTGTAGGAACTATCCGGCCCAGAGTTATTGTAGGGTCTACGTGGGCCCGGGCCCCACTAGACGGAACTCCCCGCCCCCATTTGGCGGCGGAGGCGTCTCCTCGCCCCCGAGTCGTCCTAGGGACGCCCCGGGCCCGGGTGATTGTGGGTTCGCCCCGGCCCCGAGTGATTGTCTCAACCCCGTGGCCCGCGGTGGTCGTAGCGTCCCCGAGGCCACGGGCTCCCGTAGGCTCCCCGTGGCCCCGAGTTATAGTCGGGACGCCTCGGTCGCGGGTGATTGTCGGGTCTCCACGGGCCCGGGGCGTTGGGGCGGATCAGGCCTCCGCGCCTTCTCAGAGCGCCCCGCAAGGCCGCAGGCAAGATGAACATTCTGGCGCCGGTGCGGAGGGACCGGGTCCTGGCGGAGCTGCCCCAGGTAGGCGTCAGGGCCACGTCGGGCTTCTGGCTGCGGTAGGGTGTGGGCGGGGAGGGGGTGGCATGAGACCAGTTAGAGGCTTGGGCCCAGCCCTTCCGTCCTGCTAGGCCTGCTGCTTCTGGGTGGTCCCCTCCCCACCCCTCTACCCCCGCCCCTGGCTGCTTGGCTGTGGGACAAGGGCCGGGAGTGGGTGAGTCCCATTCTCCTCCATCCCTTTCAGTGCCTGAGGAAGGAGGCCGCTTTGCACGTGCACAAAGACTTCCACCCCCGCGTCACCTGCGCCTGCCAGGAGCACCGGACAGGCACCGTGGGGTGAGTTAGAGACTCCATAACAAAGAAAGGAAGTCCCAGGAAACCCTGTGGTCAAAGCCAGGGTACACAACCAACCTCTTGGGGCTTCGTTTCCGCCTCTACCAACTGTTTGGTTATTCTTCCTTTTTGTGCCCCTGTGTTCTCCCCTTTCTTCTGGGCAAGGTCCTGATGAGTCGTATGAGATGGGGTGGGGTAGAAAGGTGGCAGTTCTATTCCTGACACAAAGAAGGTGTCCAGAATGAGGAGGTGGTCACCAGCTCAGCTTCCCACTTATCATCCATTTGAGCCCCAGGGCAGGAGGTTGTGCCTAGAGGGATGAGTCCCATTGTGGGTAAAAAAAGGTAATACTAATAACAGTTGCCACCATTAACTGAGCATTTACTGTGTGCCAGGCAGCGTGTTGGGTACTATTAGTCTCTTTTATTAAATGGAAAACACCATCACTTTTAAGATGTATCCTGGTTTCAAAGATGTTAAAATGTATGTGTGTGAGGATATGTCTCAGACTGTAGGACATTTATCTCATTTTAACCTTCACAACAACCCAATAAAATATATACTAAATCCCCACTTAACAAATGTTGAAACTGAGGCTCAGAGAGGCTAAGTAACTTGTCCTAAGTCACACAGCTAGTAAATGTGAAAGCTGGGATGCAAATTCATGTCTCTCTCATACTGAAGCACATCTGTCCAGGTAAGCTGCCTGGGAGGCCTGGTGTCTATGGTAACCTCAGCCTGGGTGCAGCTACCTTTGTGGACCTACGAGGGAGCATTGAGACTCCCTAGGGTGAAAGAGCTAGTGTCCACTCCTCCTGCCCACTCTTGTGTCCAGCAGATTTAAGATCTCCAAGGTCATTGTGGTGGGGGACCTGTCGGTGGGGAAGACTTGTCTCATTAATAGGTAAGAGGGTGCTGGAGCTGAGCTGGGTGGGGCTGGGCAGGGTAGGGCCACGCCTAGCCAGGTGGGCTGGGCTCAGGGCCAGAGCATCTTGTGTCCCCTCAGGTTCTGCAAAGACACCTTTGATAAGAATTACAAGGCCACCATTGGAGTGGACTTTGAGATGGAACGATTTGAGGTGTTGGGCATCCCCTTCAGTCTTCAGCTGTGAGTTCTTCCTCCACCCCTTCCCGCCATTCCTTCCCCCAGCGCCTGTACCCCACCTCACCCCACACACACATACCTGTGTTTCACCTCTCCTTCCTCCCAGCTGGGATACTGCTGGACAGGAGAGGTTCAAATGTATTGCCTCTACCTACTACCGAGGAGCCCAAGGTAAGGGGCTGGGTGAAGTGGGGTATACCTGGCCTCTAATCTAGGGCTGAGGGGATTGTGGAAATCAGCCAGTAGTATCTTCCCGTCAACCTGGGGCTGTTTCTGCCATTCTTCCAGCCATCATCATTGTCTTCAACCTGAATGATGTGGCCTCCCTGGAACATACCAAGTATGTAGGGATGCTGGACTATAATGGGGGCCCTGGGAAGAGAGGGTTCAGAAAGGAGGCGGGGGCACGGTCATGGTAGGGAAGGGGAAGAATGCATCTAGGACCAAGGAGAAGGTCGTGAGGCATATGAGTGTGAGTGAGAGGAGCCTGTCCAGCTCACTCATCCCTTGCTGTCCACCATCTGGCAGGCAGTGGCTAGCTGATGCACTCAAGGAGAATGATCCTTCTAGCGTGCTTCTCTTCCTCGTGGGTTCCAAGAAGGACCTGAGTGTGAGTGTGCCAGTGGGGGGACTTCCCAACTTGATGAGGGGAACCCCCCATCTGACTCCGACTTTACCTCAGACTCCCGCTCAGTATGTGCTGATGGAGAAAGATGCACTCAAGGTGGCCCAAGAGATGAAGGCCGAGTACTGGGCGGTCTCATCTCTCACTGGTGAGTCAGAGGCTTCAGGCCTTCTGCTGTGGCATTCCTGCCTGCCTTGCCTCTCATTCCTCCACCTCCAGCTGTGCCTAGTGAACCCAGGCCTGGAGCTGCCCCTGAGCACCCGTCTACTCCCCGTGTCAGGTGAAAACGTCCGGGAATTCTTCTTCCGCGTGGCAGCACTCACCTTTGAGGCCAGCGTGCTGGCTGAGCTGGAGAAATCGGGGGCCCGGCGCATTGGGGATGTTGTCCGTGAGTGCCCACCTGGATGAGGGTGGCAGAGGGCAGAAGGAGCCTCCAATCCCTGCTCCACGTATTTCCCACCCTCCTTCAGGCATCAGCGGTGATGACAGCAACCTCTACCTAACTGCCAGCAAGAAGAAGCCCACGTGTTGCCCATGACGGGTGAGGGAACTGTCCAGAGGCTGCCCAGCCCTGGGGCACTGTGCCACTGGACTCCCTGAGAGCTTGACCCCTGGACGTTTGCACTGACTGTTTTTCCAGACCAAAGACCTGCCCCTTGGTGGCAGTACCCCCAGAGGGTTAGCTGGGACCATGCTAGTCACTTCCTGCCCCAGGCACCATACCGAGGACTGGATGCCCCCCTCTTCCAGGGGCCCTCCAGGGTGCCCAGTGATAGGGAAGTGGTCCTTGCTGCTTTTATTCAGCCTACTGGACCCTTTGGGTACAAGGATGCTTAATGATCGCAGCCTCACACTGTGCCTTATGCATTAAAGTATCTGTTATTGGCATTTTGGGGGCTGGAGTCCTTTGTTGGGGATGAGGGTGTGAAATGGGCAGGGCTGTTTGGTAATCTTGACAGTGGAGCCGCCTTCTTTTTTTTAGAGAATATCTTTTATTTTTATTTATTTATTTATTTATTTTTTGTGAGGAAGATCAGCCCTGAGCTAACATCCATGCCCATCCTCCTCTTTTTGCTGAGGAAGCTTGGCCCTGAGGCTAACATCCGTGCCCATCTTCTTCTACTTTATATGGGACGCCGCCACAGCATGGCCTGACAAGTGGTGCATCAGTGTGCCACCGGGATCCGAATCACGGGCCACCGGCAGCAGAGCGCGTGCACTTAACCACTACGCCATGGGGCCGGCCCCCCCCCTTTTTTTTTTTTGTGAGGAAGATCAGCCCTGAGCTAACATCCGATGCCAATCCTCCTCTTTTTTGCTGAGGAAGACTGGCCCTGGGCCAACATCCGTGCCCATCTTCCTCCACTTTATATGGGATGCCACCACAGCATGGCTTGACAAGCAGTGCGTCAGTGCGCGCCCGGGATCCGAACCTGTGAACCCTGGCTGCCACAGCAGAGCACGCGCACTTAACTGCTGCACCACCAGGCTGGCCCTGGGAGTGGAACCTTCTGCTGGGATTCTGGCCATCGCTGGCTCCTGGGCAGGTCTCAGGCAGGCTGGGAGCTCAGGGACCAGGTCTGGGGGGCTGCACTGTACCCTCACTGGCTGAGATCTGAATGGTTGGCTTTGAGAGCCCTTTCCATTGGTCCCTTCCTCCCAAATATGTCCTCCTTTGGTGCTTGTACCCAAATTTCCACCATTGGATGATATTTTTCTTTTTTTACACTCTTCCTGCCTTTCCTTTAAAAATACTTCTTTGAGGGGAACACAGTGAGAAGCAGTTGAGTTTTGGATGTTTTTTTTTGGGTTGACCAGAAGGGGCTTGGCTTTTATTCAGAAGAGGTGCTAGCTGGTGATACAAACATAAAATTAGTGATATAAACATAAAATTATGAGTAGTGTTTTTTTACACTTTAAAACATAATCAGGGGCCAGCCCTGTGGCGTAGTGGTTAAGTGCGTGTGCTCTGCTGCTGGCGGCCCGGGTTCAGATCCCGGGCGCTCACCGAGGCACCACTTGTCAGGCCATGCTGTGGCGGCGTCCCACATAAAGTGGAGGAAGATGGGCACAGATGATAGCCCAGGGCCAGTCTTCCTCAGCAAAAGGAGGAGGATTGGCATGGATGTTAGCTCAGGGCTGGTCTTCCTCACAAAAAAAATAAAAATAAAACATAATCACGTTTTAGACAATCAAGAATCAGATTGAATTAAAAATAAGATAGGGGCCGGCCCCTTGGCTTAGTGGTTAAGTGCGCGCGCTCCGCTACTGGCGGTCCGGGTTCAGATCCCGGGCGCGCACCGATGCACCGCTTGTCGGGGCATGCTGAGGCCGCGTCCCACATACAGCAGCTAGAAGGATGTGCAACTATAACATACAACTATCTACTGGGGCTTTGGGGAGAAAAAGGGAAAAAAAGGAGGAGGATTGGCAATAGATGTTAGCTCAGGGCCCGTCTTCCTCAGCAAAAAGAGGAGGATTGGCATGGATGTTGGCTCAGGGCTGATCTTCCTCACAAAAAATTTTAAAAAAGTAAAAATAAGATATATTTTTCCTTCTTCAAACAAACAAACAAAAAAGATGTGCTGTGAATCAGGAGGACCCACATTTGAATCCTTGCTGTCCATCCTGGGACACTCAGGCAAATCACTTATCCTCTGTGCCTCAGTTTCCTCATTTGTAAAATGAGACTAATAATACTGATGAGGTTTCATGGATGAAATAAGATAAAAGTGCTAACACACACATTGGAAGAGCTCAAAAACTTTAACTGTTATAATAACTATTTGGGGAAAGAGTGACCAAGAACCTGGTTCACTGTTGACATCTGACCCAGAGCCACAGATTGGCTGGAAGTATCTCAGACATCTGGGCCAACAGTGGAGGGACACATGTGGCCTGGTGTTGTCCTGGGAGGCCATGGAGGGTCAAGATTAGAACATCCTGGCTCCCAGTCAATAAGTGCTCTGTCCATTCCATGCCTGGTTCCATTCTCACCCAGCTACTCTGTCCTGGAAGGGTTGGCTTTTCTGCACGCTCCTCCTCCTGGCTTCGCCCCACTGCTCTTCCTAGAGCTCTCTAGAGCTTGAGCTATGGTGGGTGGGAGGGTCTGGGCAGTGGCCCTACACAATCAGGCTGCTGAGTCTGCAGGAAGGTGAAGGTTGGGATCACACAGAGAGGCAGCAGGAGAGGCCCTTGATGACTCTAGAAAAAACAGTTTAAACACCCTCCTTTTCACTCCTTGCCATCCTTTGAGGCATATCCTGGCTTTGGAGCCTGGTGCCAAGAGAAATTGAGGGGTGTGATGTGTGGAATGTCGGTGATTCGGCTCTAAGGCTTTTCCACACTTTCCTGGAATTTTTTTCCATCTCTGTTCTCTCACAGGACTGCGCTCCTCACCCCTTGCCTTGCACAGAGCTGTAACTCAATATGTGTGTGTATGTGAAGCCTGCACCACAGTACCACTGTGGAGGGTTTGTGCTGTGTGGAGTGTGGGGAGCGGGGGTATGGTTCTGTGTTCTGAGTGGTGTCTGTGAGGGGCGTGTGCATGTTGCGTTAGTTCATGTGTGGTGAGTGGATGTTTTATGTGCTCTACGTGTGCGATACATGCATGTGCAGTGTGTATGCTGTACTTAAGGGTGTGAGGGTTGTGTGTAGTCGGTTACTATAAATGCGGCTGGCCCTGCTCCCCGCATGGGGCAAACCTATGCAGATACATGAGGTTGCCTGAATGAGATAAGATAAAGCACTAACACACATAGGAAGAGCTCAAAAACCTTAACTATTATAATAACTATTCTAGAGAAGAATGACCAGGACCCTGGCTCTATGTTGACCTCTTTATTGGGCACGGTGCCCCATGGGGTTAGGAGGGAACGTTGGGAGGGGGCGCTACGGGTGGGCGTCACAGGCGGGCTGGGGGCCGACATCATGTCTCATCCGGGAGTTCGGCCATAGGCTGCTGTGGCAGGACCTGCGGGCGGAGAGCAAGAGAGCGAGCCTGGCCTCCCGCCAGGGCAGGAGGGACCTCGAAAGAGCCGGGATGACAGGGTGGAGGTTGGAGGCAGTCGCTTCGCAGGCGGGCGGCCGGGGGCTCAGGCGTAGACTGGCGGCGGGTCTCAGGTTCGGAAGGATTGGGAGGGGCGGGGAGCAGGCCGAAGGGTGCAGTTGAGAGAATGGCTTGGGCGGGGCTAAGAACGGGGCCAGGGGCGGGGCTAAAGTCTGGCGGTAGGACTAAGAGCTGCGAGAAGGTCTGGAGAGGAACTAGGGATGGGACTGAGGGCTGGGCCTGAGATAAAGGGGCGGTACTAAGGTTAAAGGTGGGACAAAGAGGGGCCCGGAAGGAGCTGGGAGGCGCCGGATGAAGAGCGCGACTGCAGCTTCCACTTGGGCTGAGAAGACCACGCAGCCTAGAGCGGGGGAGGGGGAGGG